TCGGGTCCTTGCGCTTGCAAGGCAGGCCACCAAACCGCTGAGCTAAATCCCCAGCCCCTTTTTCTTTCCTTTTTTTGATAAGGTTAGCTAAGGGTTTATTGATTTTATTTATTTTTTCAAAAAACCAACTCTTCGATTAATTTATTTTCTGTATCGTTTCCTTAGTTTTCCATTGCACTGATTTCTGCTCTAATCTTTGTAATTTCTTCTCTTGTTTGAACTTTGGCTTTTTCTTGCTCTTGTTTTTCTAGGAGTCTAAGGTTCATCATGAGGTTGTTTATTTGAGCTCGCTCTGTTTTCCTAGTGTGGGCATTCAGTGCTATGAATTTTACACATAGAACTGTTTTCACTGTGTCCCACAGATTCCTGTATGTTGTACTGGTATTATCATTTATTTGTAAAAACTGTCTAATTTCTTCTTTAATTCCCTCTGTGATCCATTGATTATTCAGGAGAGTGTTGCTCAATTTCCATGTGTTTGTGAAGTTCCTACGGTTTCTTATGCTATTGATCTCCAGCTTGATTGCACTATAATCTGATAATATAAAGGGAATAACTTCAATTCTTTTGCAATTATTCAAACCTGTTCTGTGAGCTAGTATGTGGTCTATCTTAGAGAATGACCCATGTGCAGTTGAAAAGAATTATATTCTGATTTTGTGGGGTGGAATACTCTATAGACGTCTATTAAGTCCATGCGTTCAAAAGCTTGGTTCAGTTCTAGTATTTCATTGTTGATTTTTTTGCCTAGATGATCTATTTGTGAAAATAGGATATTTAAATTCCCCACTACAATTGTATTAGTGCTTATTTAGTTTTTCATGTTTCTTAATATTTATTTTATATAGTTAGGGGCATTAATATTTGGTGCATATATGTTTATGATTGTCATTTCTTCTTCTTTAATTGTTCCCTTATAAGGATGTAGGGGCCTTATCTCTTTTAATCAGTTTTGATTTGAAATTTACTTTGTCTGTGAATAAGATTGCTCCCCCTGCTTTTTTCTGGGCTCCTGTCACATGGAGAATTGTTTTCCATCCTTTCACTTTCAGTCTATGAGCTTCTCTTTGCACTAGGTGTGTTTCTTGTATACAACATATTGTTGGATTTTGCTTCTTAATCCATTCTGCCAGTCTGTTTCTCTTAATTTCATCAATTGAGGCCACTGACATTGATGGTTTTAACTGATATGTACTGACTTATTATTGTCATGTTATTGTCCTTTTGTTGACTTTTTAATTTTTTGCCTTCTTTTAGTTTCTTGCCTTCCCTATTTGATTTGCTCTGTTGGGCCTCATGGTTTTGTTACCCTCATTGTCTTTCTAGGATATTGTTTAGAATTCCTTGTAGTGCTGGTTTGGTATTCATGAAGTTTCTCAGGTGTTCTTTGTCATGGAAGTATCTTATTTCCCCATCCATTTTGAAAGAGAGTTTTGCAGGATACATCACTCTAGGTTGGAGGTTTGTTTTCTTTTAAGACTTGAAATACCTCACTTCAGGCTCTCCTTGACCTAAGGGTTTGTGTTGAAAAGTCTGGTGTGATTCTGATGGGCTTTCCTTTGCATGTGATTTGTTTCTTTTCTCTCACTGCTTATAGTATTTTGTTCTTCTGTTGGGTTTCTGGGATGATTATTACATGTCTAGGTGTAGATTTTTTTTTTATATAGTGGTCAGAGTCCTATACGCCTCACTTATCTGTATGTCTAATTCTTCCCCTCTGTTTGGGAAGTTTTCTGTCATTAATTCTGTGAATAACTTTTTTAAGTCATTTGTATTTTCTCCTGCTACTTCATGGATTCCTATCAATCTTAAGTTATTCTTCTTTGCAGTGTCTCGGAGTTGTTGGATCAATTTCTCATGATCCCCTACTGTTTTAAAGAGACCTCTCTTTTCACAGTCACTGACTGCAATCTTATCTTCTATATCTGAGATTATATCTTCTCTTTCTTTTATAATGTTGAAAACACTTTCAATAGAGTTTTTAATCTCCTGGGTATCTGTTTGAATCTGTTTTATGGATTCCATTTCTTTCCTATGTTGGACATTCATTGTTTCCCATTTCTTTCTTATGCTGGGCCTTCATGGCTTCTATCATGGTCCTGAGCTCATCTATTTTTTGTCAGTTTCTGTTCTAGAGTCTCGAATCATGACTTTCATTTTGCTCACCATCTCTATGGTTGTCTGGGAAATTATATCTGTTTTGAATTTTTCTAAAGCCTAATTGATCAGTTTTGTTACTTCCTATGCTTTGAGTTCAGGGTGTCCTGGTGGTTCACTATCGGCCTTTTCATCCTCATTTGCCCTACTGTTTGCCATTGGTGAACCGGAAGTCTGTCTTTATGTCTTGCTTAAGTGTTTTCTCACTTTTATTTTTGTTGTTGGGTTGTCCTTGGTTTAATTTTTGGGTTATTACTTAAATCTTCCTGATATAGTTGCTCTTTAACTTTTGGGTTTCTAATGACTCATAGACATTCTCATTTCTTCTACACTAATTTAAAAGCACTTTACATATACATGTCTTTCCTTATCAAGAGTTTCACTATTTCACTTCTGAAGTTTCAGTTACCTACGATTTAAGTTACTCAAGGTCAATTACAGTCTGAAAATGTTAAATGGAAAATTCCAGAAATAAACAATTCCTAAGTTTTAAATAACTTGTATTACAGTATATTGTTTACTTGCTTTATTTTATTATTGTAGTTAATCTTTTATTGTGCCTAATATAAATCTTTATCACAGGTATTTATGTATAGGGAAAAACGTAATATATACAAAATTCAGTACTATCTGTGGTTTCAGGCATCCATGAAGGCCTTGCATTGTTTCCCCACAGAAGAGAGAAGACTACTAAACATTTATTTCCCATGTTCATCAAACATTTTAATCAAGAAGCTAAATACGCATATTAAAGAATTGAGAATTGATAAATTTTTGCATCTCATTCATAACTGCTGAAAAGCAATGAAGGGATTAGTACATGGACTGATGTTTCTATCCGAATTTCTTCTGTCATCATTTGTGAAGTAAAAAGCACTCTCTAGCAGGCTTTGTGTGTTTAATTTTAACTGAGGGAAAACTTTTATGACTGAGTTATAAACCCACAAAACTGGAGTTCATATCGGAAGCCCTCACACTACTAAGTATAATGATACCAGTGTGCATTACCATTTTTAAAAGTGCAAAGAAATCAATGAGCAGATTGCCATTACAGAAACTCATTTTGCATTATACACATCACTCAAGAGATTGATATTTTATGCTTATAAAACTTAACATAAAATTAAATTGGAGATATTTCCTCACTATCTACTAAAATTACAGCCTCAAGCAATACACTGCTAATATGAAACATTTGTTCATCTCTAGTGGACATTTTTTGTATATGATTTATGTGAAAGAAGGCTTCATTTACTTCTTTTTAGATTCAGTAATGAAGTTTCTTGTCTCATATTAAGCCTTGGAAGTGTAGGAATTTCTTTACAACTTAAAATCCCGAAAATATAACACTAAATTCTCAATAAATAGTCAAAATTTAAAACTTGAGGTATTTTCTCCTTGTGTTTATGATTATGTCATTTCAGACATCTGCCATTATTCTATTACCCAAATACATAAAAAGCACCTAAATATCCCTCACAGAAAACACATTTCCATTCTTTAGGAACCAATCCAGAGTGACAATTTCAAGTAAAACAGATTGAGATTTTTCTCACTAGAATCTAGAAAGACTAAACATAATATCATCTGTTTCCCCCCAAAAAGTTAGGCTTAGTTATCAGAATATAAGTAACAATCCATAGCATATAAGAAAAGATAAAATTTATTTCTTCATCATCAATCTAATGCATCATGAATTTACTTACATGTAGCAATTGCTAGCCAGTGAAGTCTTTGCTTAGTTACAAGTTATAGAATACACAAAGGGAAAATAATGTCATTATCTGGAACTTTAAAAAAACACATATGCACTTATTTTTATGTTGAAATCTTTCTAATTTTACAAATTAGCACCATTAATATAAAATTAAAATAGACAACTCTCACCTTAAGCATTCAGCATCATTTTGAGGCTTTTCATTGACCTTTATTCTTTCTGCCTCTAGATATTTCGTAGCACAAATTGCTTCTTTCTCTTCATCTTTAAGAACTAAAGAAAATTCTTATATTAAAAAAGTTAAACCTACAGATTATCTTTATTCACTCATCTGAAAATACTCTTCTTGGTGATTCATGTTAAATATGCATAGTGCTAATTATTATTTTCTATTTTAACATCACAATTATGAAAAAAGATCTTCACAGAACTTGTGACAATAGGAACAGCACCTTTAACAATGATCTAATTACTCTTGTACCTATTTATTTTTTATATCAATAGTGGCACTATATCCCAACCAGTTAATACATTTTATAAGATTATTTTACCCTACCATTTGTTAGCCAATGTATCTATTTGTTAGCAAGTAAACTAAGTCATGAAAGTAATACCTTTAAGTTTACTTTGGAGAGTAAGTAATTCTTGCATCAATTCACTCTTTTGTTTTTGAAGTTCATTTAATTGGCCATTGTCATGTTCCATGGACTTTATTTCTACAAACAATTACAATAACATAAAAAATTACATAAGAATAGACTGAATCAAACAAATGAAATATCTGTTATGATAATATATATCACTGATGAAAGAAACTGAAGATACAACAAAGATAATCCCATGTTTATGAATCAGAAGAATTAGTATCAGTAAAATGCCCATACTATCCAAACCGATATATAGAATTTAATGCACTCCCCATCAAACTTTCAGTGGCATTCTTCATAGAAATAGAAACAAATATCAACTATTCCATTGTTGATTAATTAGAGTACAAAATTCAGTGGGCTTTAATATAGCTCAAATTTCTGTATCTACTAACTTTATTCTGGGACACTCATCACCCCAAAAAGAAACTGCATTCCTGTTAGCAGTCAGTGCCAGTTTTCTCCAGGTCTGCCAGTCTTAGGCAACTACCAATCTACTTTCTTTATGGATTTGTTGATTCTGAATATTTTGCAAAAATGGAATCATACATTCTATGGCCTTTAATTTTTTACCTCTGATTTAGTATGATTTCAAGGACCACTCATATTGTTCCACATATCAGTGTTTATTCTTTATGCCCTAATAAAATTCCATTTTATGTGTATACTGTTTTATAATTTCATTTTTCAAATTATATTTGAGTTATTTTGTCTCCTATGAATAATGCTACCATGAACATATATGTACAAATTCTCATGTGCATTTTTGTTTTCAAGTCTCTTAATTGCCTAACAATGAAACTTCTAAGTCATATAATAACTCCAGGTTAATTTGTTTTTGTTATTTACTGGGGATTGAACTCAAGAGTCTTTGCACTGAGATACATCCTCAGACTTTTTTAGCTTTTGAAACAAGTGTTGCCCAAGCTGGGTTTAAACTTAACTATATTCCTGCCTCAGCCTTCCAGAGGCTAGGATTACAATCATGGATTTTGAGAAACAAATCATATTCCAAAGCAGATGTATAATTTTACATCCCTACTTGTAATTCATGGCATTTCCAATCTCTTTGCAGCCTCACACTATTACTGCCCACCTTTACGATAGCCACATCACTGTGCTTTTGATTTGCAGTTCCCTGATGACTTTAGATGTTTAGTATTTTTTTTTCATGTGGACACTTGTATATGTTTTTTGAATAAATGTCTATTAAAATCCTTAGCTCATTTTTAAGGTGAGTTGTCTTTTTATTGTTGTGTTGCAAGATTTTTATTCTGGATCTGAGTCCCGTATTAGGTATATTACTTGAAAATATTTTCTTTCATTTTTGTGGTTGTCTTCCCTTTCTGGATAGAACCCTTAAACAGAAGAGTTCTTGGTTTTCAATGAAGTCCAATTTACCCATTATTTGTACATATCTAAAAAATTCACTACCACTAGGTTACAAAGATTTACAATTATATTTTTCTTAAGTTTTATATTTCTTTAATCTCTAGTAGCACAAAAAAAGTTTTATATTGTAGCTCTAATATCATTTAGTTAATTTTTGTGTTTGGTATGAAATGCAGCAAAGGTGAGATGGTCTTTGATTCATTTGAGTTATGTTTTGTATATGTTGTGTTCATGTACATTCTTCTGAATGTGGATATCTAGTTATGCCTGGACTGTTATTTTAAAAGATTATTCTTTTCTCATTGATTTATCTTTGCATCATTGTCAAGAACCAACTGCCCATGAAGAGGAATTTATTTCTGTATTCTTAATTATATTCCATCGACCTTGCTTATCCATATGCCTGTGCTACCTTATATTTATTACTGTAGCTTTATATTGTTTGAAATTAGGAACTGTGAATTCTCCAACTCAGTTTTTCTTTTTCAAGATTATTTTGGCTATTCTGGATACTTTGTATTTCCCAGTAAATTTTAGTGAATTGGTCAATTTGCCAAGTTTAGCAAATATCTACATGAAATTTTGATGGGGATTGCATTTGGATCTTTACATAGTACAGTCATTTTAACAGTATTGTCTCCCAATCTACAAACAAGTTTTTTATGTAATTTATTTTCCTTCAATGTTTCCTATAGTTTTTGGTTGCACACATTACACTTTTGTTAAATGTATTCCTAAGTATTTTATTGTTGGTGTTTTTATAAACAGAATTTTCTGAAATTTGCTAACAAATTGTTGACAATTTGTAGAAATATGATTAATTTATTTTATCTTATATCCTGCATCTTTGCTGAATTAGCTCTAATAGTTTTCTTTAGATCTTTTGGAAAATCTCAATACAAGCTCATGCTATCTCTGAATAGATAGTTTTCTTCCCTTTCCAATCTGAATGTCTTTTGGTACCTTCTTTTGTTTGCTTTTCCTGGCTAAAATCTGCAGCAGTGTTGATTAGAGGCAGTAAGAGTGGATACTTTTTTCTTCTTCCTGATATTAGGTGGGAAACTGTCATTATTTCACCATTAAGAATGGCATTAGTTATGAGTTTTTTCATAAATGTCTTTTATCAAGTTGAGGAAAATTCCTTGTTATATTATTAAATAATTTTGTCAAATATTTTTCCTGTCTCCTCGGTTATTTTTTTGTTTTCTATTTAGTTCCCCCCAGATCCCCTCCATTCTTTATTAAGTCTATTTCTCCGCAATGTTCATTTCTTTGAATAAATTTAATAAATAAAAGCAGTTTTAAATTCTGTCTCCTAATTGCATAATCCCTGTCACTTCTGGGTGAATTTTTTTGATCCAATTTTCTCCTTATTCTAAATTGTAACTGTTGCTTCTTCACAGTTTTAGTGATTTCTGATTTGATACAAGCTATTGTGTTTAAAATTCTGTTGAATGTTTGAGTTTGCTGTCTTCCTCTAAATGATGTTGATGCTTATTTCAGTAGATAGATTATCGGTGGATCAGATTCAAACTTGTTTAGAACATTATTATAGGGTGGTTAAACAGTATTCGATCTAAGGAAAATTTAATCCTACTATTAAGGCTAGACCTGTGTGTAATGAAATCTTACTATATCTCCCAGTTTCATGTGAGCTCTTAGCATTTCTCACTTTATTGCTCCCCAGTAGTCTTTCTTTACTCGGCATACTGGAGTTTCCCAAAGCGAGCACAGGTTTATACAGAGAAAAAGACTCAAGGGGACCTCCATGCAGATTTTTCTTTGAGTGAACCTGTCCTTTTAAGTAAATTTTCTGGATGACTTGGCCTCCCTGATCTCCAATCTTTGCATCTTCAAATCAGACCGCTGTGCATTGCTTAAGTTTCTCCTTCCAATTCTATTGTCTAAAAACTGTATCCAGGTAGAAAGCTGACACAATCACAGGGTTTACATCCTTCCCCTCTCTCAAGGATCACAGTTCTGTAGTTTTATTAGCCTCAATACCTAAAAATAGTTTGCCATATAATTTCCTCCAGCCTTCTAATTGTTTGTGGAAGAAAGGAAATCTATGAAATTATTCCTTCATGAACGTAAGTGGAAGTTATCTATATAATATTCAATTTATCCTTTTACCTGTCTCTCTTCCACATTAGATTATAAATTCCTTGAAAACAAGTAGTATCCTTCATTTTAAACCCTCAATTCTTTTACCATGCTTGGCATAGTACATACACAGCACATAGTAGTTACTCAGTAAAATATATTAAATCATATAATTGTCTTTAAATATTTTTGATTATTCACAATCACTTTGACAATGTGGGTAAATAAGTGGACAGTTCTAAGAAAAGAGACTGACATTTATGCTTCTGCTTCTTTTTTAAATGAAAACTTAAAATATAAACACATGCTAATAATAGATGTATCCCATAACACAATCTTTAAGAGATGAAAAAAAGACACAATATTTTAATATTAGTTGATTTATTAGATATATGATGATGAGATATTTGTATGAATAAATCTTAGGTAAGAATCATGGAGATATGTTTGATTTAAATATTACTAAGATGGAGGATATATTATTTTTCTTCATCCTGATTCTTTAGGTTAAGTAGTCTGAGGATTGATTTTTTTTAAAGAAAAAAAATATTTCATTTCCTAATGAAGTTTATAAAACTGGAATAAACACTTGCCATGTGGTGATAATATTCCCCCATTTTCTATTGTCTTATTATTTTATTTTTAAATTTGTAGTTTATTGAGCTAAAATTGATATAGTGATTACTTTTAATTTATTTTACTGCCAAAAATTCCAATGTTTTAATCAATAGCTATGTTTTATGTCTATGGATATTAAGCCAAACTAAGACAATCAAAATTCATCCCCTTCTTTAACATGTGAGTTGTCTTTCTTATATGTACACTGCCAATCATTAGTGGATGTACATCTTATCTCAACATCCAAGAAAAGCCAATTCACCAATTGGGAGAAATAAATAGGAATATTTTAAGAAAAATATTATGACAATATTACAATCATCATTTTGAAGCCAAAACAATGTTTTCATCTATGAATTACCAGATATTAAAAATGAATAAATATTTAGTCACTTCACAAATACATACTGAATGCCAAGTAGTCCATGTTTAATCGTTTGAGCCAAAAACTTTGGAATCAACTTTAATGCCTCTCTTTTCTCACACCCCAAATTTAGTCCATCATGAAATCTTGCTCATCTATCTTGAAAAATATATCCAGAATCCGAATACCTCTTGTCATTTCTATTGCTACATCACTTACCCAAGCTAATATTATTTTTCATCTGGACTACTGCTACTGTCTCCCAGGTTTTCTGTTCCTCATTTTGCTTCTCGTAAGTGTTCAATAGTAACCAAAGTAACTTATTAAAGTGTGAGACCTTTCACTCCTTTGTTCAAAACTTTCTGATGGCTTTTAACTTCATTCTAATAAAAGTCATTAGACTAGCTCACAAAGTTTTAAGTGACCTGAATTCTTGTCATCTTTCTGAACACATGGCTCTCCTTTTTATTCTAAATAAATTAGGCTCTTTGCCTTAACTCAAAAACAGATGAAGCACAATCTCTCTTTAAGGGCTTTGCATTATCCCGGATCAGTGAAGTGCTCTTTACCCAGATACTCATCTGGCTCATTTCCATACCAATTTCAGGTTTTACTCAAAACTATCAGTGGGGTCTTCTTTCCTCCTTTATCTCCTAGCCCTCATGCCTCCATCTCTATCTTTTCTACATGAATGTAGGATACATGAAGGCAGAAGTTTTCTTTTTCTTTTTTTCTCTGGTCACTATAGTTAAGCCCAGTGCCTGTACCAAAGCCTGGTACAAAAAAATTATACAATAAGTATTACTGAGTAAATGAATGAATACAGAATGCAAAGTTCAGAAATACTGTACCTCTATAAGCAAAACATATAGTTCCTACCCCTACAGAAATTTATACTTTAGTTGGGGAGACAGATGTGAATCAATAAACATACAAAGATATAATTATATTGCTCCGAATAAAAAGTACAGAGAGCTATGAAATAATATAGCTGGAGGAACTAAGATAATATGAGACTAGAGTGGGGGAGGTAACACAGAAGAATTTCCCAAGAAAGTAATACTTAATCATAGAGCAGAAGAATGACTAAGTTAAGTAATTAAAAGATAAGAAAAGGCTCCCAAATACAACACATTTAAGGCCCTGAGATAGACGGAAGCATGAAATAAATGGAAAGCAAAAGAAGCTAATGTGCCTTAAGCACAAAGAGCAAAGGTTGCTGTGTAAAGCTGGAAGGTAGAGAGATTATAAAGATGACAAAACATGTTGAAGTTTGCTATGTCTATAAAAAAATTTTTGAACAGAATGTAATATAAGAAGCTCAATGTAACAGTGGGTAAGAGTAATATCTTTCTTATTAGTACATGTTTATAGTACATAATGTTTACATTCCTTGTGAGGAATTGGTATACATAATACATCTTCATTCCTTTTTTTCATTCCTGTTCCCTTCCTCCCTTCCCCTTCCACCAATAAATAACATATTTTTAAAATATATGAACAGCAATTTGGCAACGTCAAACCATACATAGAATCTAACTATGGGGTTGAAAATTGTAAATTGGAGAATACATCTGCCAGTGGCATAAAAACATTGTGGAGTACTAGAAATTAACAAAAACATCTAAGAAGAGTTAAAAATGAAGTTATTAAAAAAACAATGTGATGGGCTGACTAATCACCATTAAAAGCTAAAAGCTAAGTGAGAGAGGTCAGAGGGAGAAGCTAAGGGAAGAAAGAAAAGAGAGCAAAAATTCGACTGTCAGAAAATAACAGATGTAGTGGCCCAAATTCAAAGATGGAATAGAAGAGCAAATACTGATAGGCAAGAATGGAAACTAAAGCTGCCAGGGGAAGGAATAGCTCTGATATCTGCTCAAATTTGAACTCCTTTCTCTGCCTCTACTGTCAAGGAAAAAAGTCATCAGAAAAAATTTCACAAGTGAATTCTTCCAAACCTTGACAGAACAAATAATTTTAATATTTACATTTTCCAAACTATACAAAGACGCATTTGCATTCCCTTTGTAAAGTCAATACAGCACACATAAAAAAGGTTAATCTCACAAATATGGATGCAAAAATATGAAACAATATCAAACAATTCAGAAATATAAGACTATGAGGACAGAACTAAGTAAGGTTAATGATAGGATATTTATCAATAAAATTCACTAGGTGATCATTTCAAAAAAGGGCAGGCTGGGGGACTGGGGATTTGGCTTAGTGGTTCCACTGCCTGCCTTGCAAGTGCAAGGGCCCAAATTTGATCCCCAGTACCAAAAAAACAAAAGCAAAACCAAAAAAAGGTAGGCTGGGGAATAGAGGCAGGGAAGAGGAAAAGAAAGTAGCAGAGGATAAAGAGAGCTTCAATCTGACACCGTGATTAATAAAAAAACTCTAGAAATATTTCAACAAAACTTAATAAAAAGAAAAGGCATCTAATATTGGCACTAGTATTCAAAAGCATTCTAAAAATACCAGCACATGTAATTGATTTTAAAATTGTAATTAACATTAGAAAACAAAGTTGTAATTAGCTGAAAGTAACACTAAAACACATAGAAAACTCAGTAAAACTGATTGTGAACAATAAAATAATTCAGCAAGATAGCTTGCTGGAAAATAAGAATATGGAAAAAAGTGGTTTACCTATAAATAAACAATAAAGAGTAAGAAAGTGTAAAACAATGGCAAATAGAATGGAAAAAATCATCAAAAAGATGAAAGTAGGTTTCATCCTAGGGACGCAAGGATGGTTCAACATGTGCAAGTCAATAAATGCATTACATCACATATATGGAAACAAGGACAAAAACTATATGATCATATCAACAGACGCAGAAAAAGCTTTTGAAAAAATCCAACACCCATTCATGATAAAAATGCTGAAGGAAATAGGTATAGATGGGTCTTATCGCAACCTGACAAAACTCATTCAGGACAAGGCAGTGACTAGCATCTTACGAATGGGGAAAAATTGAAAGCATTTCCCTTCAAATCAGGAACAAGATAAGGGTGCCCACTATGACCACTCCTATTCAACATATACTCAAAATGTTAACCAGAGCAATCAGGAAAGAAAAAGAAATAAAAGAGACACAAATTAAAAAGAAATAAGTCAAATGATCATTGTTCATAAAGGATATGACCTTCTACATAGAAGAACCAAAATATTCCACCATAAGACTCCTAGAATTAATAATCACACTCATTAATGTAACAAGCTACAAAGACACAAAAATCAATAGCATTCCTGTGCTCTAATAATGAATTCCTTGAGAAAGAAATTAAGAAAACAATACCATTCACAAAAGCATCATGAAAAATTAAATCTTTTGGAATTAATCTAACCGAGGAAGTAAAAGGCCTGAAAAACAAAAACTACAGTATTCTGAAAAAGGAGATTGAAGACAACATCATAAAATGGAGATATCCTCTGCTTCTGGACAGGCAGAAACAAAATTGTCAAAATGACCATACTACCAAAACTGAAACACAGGTTTAATGCAATCCCAATAGAATACCAATAGCATTCCTCACAGAAATAGAGAAAACATTCCTACAATTCATATGAAACCAGAAGAAACCCAGAATAGCAAAAGCAATACGAGAGCAAACCATGAAGCATCACAATGCCTGACTTCAAGTTATACTATCGGGCTAACAACAATATGGTATTGGCATAAAAACCAGAGAAGTGGATCAACAGAACAGAAGAAAAGATGAAGAAACAACCTCAGACACATTCAGCCACCTGATCTTTTAACAAAGGGGCCAAAACACATGCAGAAGGAAAGTGGCCTTTTTAACAAATGGTTCTGGGAAAATTGGATAACCACTTGCAGAAGTTTAAAGCTAGACGCATATCTCACACTTTGTACTAAATTAAAATCAAAATTGATTTAAGATCCAAATATTAAAACATTTAACCTTTTGGAAAATTAGGTAAAATTCTTGAAGTTATGGGTGTAGGCAGAAGTTTCTAAACAGGACTCCAACTGCAAAAGAAATAACAGCAAGAGTAAACAAATAGGATTACATCAAATTATAAAGCTTCTGCACAGCAAAGGAAACAATCAACAGAGGGAAGAGACATCTTACAGAATAAGAAAAAACACTGCCAGCTACACCTTGGACAGAGGACTAATATCTAGAATGTATATATCATATACAATTATTATAATAATAATTATATATATATAAAATAATACATTATAAATAACTAAAAAATTTAGACCCCCCTCTCCTAAAATAAAGAACAGAATAAGTTGGAAACTGAAACCAATAGATACTTCTCAGAAGAAATACAAATAATAAATACATGAAAAATTGTTCAACTTCCCTTACCATTAGAGAAATGTCAATTAAAACAACACTGAGATTTCATTTTATTTCAGAAAGTATTGTAATCATTAAGAAATTAAATAACAAATGCTTGTGAGGCTGTGGTAAGAAAGGAAAATCCCTTCATTGCTATTGTAATGTAAACTAGTCCAACCACTATGGAAACCGGTATGGAAATTAAAAAAAAAAAAAATAGAAATTCTTATTACAGCCTCCACAGTGTGGAGTTGGACCTGATTTAGATGAAGAGATACTGGACTTTAATCTACTGCCTTAAAAGAATCTCTAAAGTTTGAATCTGTAAAATATTTTTTATTTTCCCCATTTCTGTCTACATTAATCAGTGATAAAATCCTGTTGTTCTTTGTTAATCTCTAATTCACTCCTTCCTCTCCTTGGCAATTGCTTTACTTCAGCATTTTATCACAGACTGCAATAACCTGCAAACTACTATTCCTAAAATGAAATTCACCTCATTATGTAACTTTACTTCCCAGTTTATACTGGATTAATGGTAAAATGAGATTATAAACACCATTTCGAACGCCTAATAGAGCTTCCATCACACTGCACTGTAAATACCTGCTTATGTGTTTGTTTCTTCCACTTTTTAATTTCATATCCCCATGACCTATAACGGTAGCTATGACATAACAGATAGTAAACAGATATTTATATTGAATGAATGACCAAATGCTTGTGTTACATGTACCACTAAATAATCTGAGCTTGTTCACAATAAAAAATACATATTCACTAATTCATTACGACAATTAAGACTAAAGTGAGAGATACAATTATGTAATAACCCAATTTGTTAAAAGGGTTAAAGTTATAGAAAATTAATTTGTTCAAAATAAGTTATTTTTATTAATTCCATTCAAATAAATATTCACACCTTTTTTCAAAATGTTTGCCTGGTTTTCTAAGTCAAATACTTCAATCTTGACACTTTGTTTCATCAAAAGCTCTCTTTTCTTTGTTATTTCATACTCATTATTAAAGTCTGTAATTTCCTTAATGAATTTTTCTTCCTCGTCTATCATTTTTTTCTTTGTAGTTTCCTGAAAAAACAAAAACACAGATCAAATATAGGTGTTATTTGCATTAAATTTTTCTTTAATGATTTAAAATACAACCATTTGGAATTATTAACAAAAAATATAAAATTATATTTCCTGGTATACTAAAAAATGCTTCACTTTTAGGTAATGCTATTAAAAAACTGAAGTATAATAACAATAAACTATCAGCAGATAAAATATTTATCTTTAAAGTTTTAGAATTATTATGATAGAAATTCTAGGACTCATTGTACCTGTGTGTGTGATTTAAATTTTATAACCACTTGTCATTTTGTCATTACAATATAAAATTAAGTAGTAAAATAATAACCAATCTTAAAAATTAAAACTACACTCAAAGGACTATAACTTTGCTGGAAAAAATAGAAAAATTAACAAACGAGGATAGCTAAGGAAATATTTTTAAATGTAGACTGATGAAGGCACAATTATATATGAACTGCAAGATCAGTTTTACACAACTGTCTATATTTTATGAAATACCAACATGGTGAGAAAGTAAGTTTTCAAAATTTTGGACAACACAAAAACCTAAACATTTTGATAATATTATAACTTAAAAATTACTATATTTTTTATTTTTTCTAAGGGATGCCAACCAATTATGAACCACACTGAGAAACTTCCCATGTCATTCAAAACCACTGTATCTTCTGGTTCTGACTTCTGAACTGTATTTTTAATATTTTTACATGTATTTTCTTTAAAATGTTATCTAATCAGTCATATTTCCAAAATGGCACTGTTGCTCACTTTGTTGGTTCTGATTTAAGATAAAAAGATAAAGTAATATCCACATTTTCATTCATATCATTAATATTCCCAAAGTATGAACCTTTCAAATCATTAAAGTCTCAATGTATAAGCAATTGAAATCAGTTTTACCCTTTCTTTAGGCTTTATTATAATTGCATATAATTTCTATATTATGTCCCTGTTAACAGAATTCTTTCAAACTATATTAGTTATATTACCAATTAGTTTTAAATAGTACTTAATATATTTCCTTATCTGTATAATACTGCTAATATGAACATGGACAATTTTCTAAAAGTACGCTAAGTATATTAAAGAGTTTCAACATGTTTATTGAAATGGATTTTTCTAAGTGGTTAGACTCACAAAGGTTTGGAGAAGTACATTCCTTTGGTTTGTAATTTCACTGTATTGTCTTTCTAAGGCATTTACATACGCTTTTAGAAGCTGTAAGCGGGAGGATTTTTCAGAACTCTGCTGAACCTTCAAAGTAAAAAAACAAAAGAGAGAGAGAAATCAGAAACAAGACATTTTAGAGCATCTTATATACTCCTAAGTGAAATAAATAAGTCACACATGTGTAAATACCGAATAGATTCCCTGGTGTGAATAATCTGCAATAATACATAAGATCCTAGTAAGATTACTGACATTTAGAAATGGGAAGAAAGGAGCTAAAGGTGTAGGGAAGGTGGGATGGGTAGGGGAAAGGTAATAAGGGAAAAGAAAAAAATGTGAGATAATGAAAAGATGAAAATAAAGTGTTTGTAGATGGAGAGGGGAGGAGGGGGTGAAGGGAGGGCAGGGGTAAGGGGAAAAAATGAGAATCAAGACTTGTCATGTAGAGGTACAAGATCCCAACAATGAATGTAACTGTACTGTATCCCTAAAATGTACCAATAAACTCAATTAAAGCTGAAAAAAAAATAGAGTATCTTAGTTAACAGATTTGCATATGACATTTTCTGCATTAATCTTTAATATGCAAAATAAAATTCACATGAAACATCCTAGTGTACTTATACTATCTATATAATTACAATTTTAAGACTTCTCCCAATAAGACCATTAGCTCTTCAAGGGAAGGAAATATGCTTTTCTTTTCCTTGCATACCTAGCAGAGTTCTTGGTTTAAATACCAAAACTTCTTGACTATACATATTGAAATCTGTTAAATTTGTGTGAAAGAACAGTTTTCTATTCTCACAACTTATAATGGAGAAATTACACAATATGACAAAATAATGGGATGGGATGAGGATGCAGCTAAATGGTAGAACATTTGCAAACTCAACTCCCTGAGCTCCATTTGCAGCACCACAAAGTAAAACAAGTAAAATAATGACATAAAATATACAAAATACAGGCAAAAACTCAGTTCCATGAATATATCATGCAAAGCATAAACCTTTTAAGTTTCTCAAACAGGTTTTAAGCATTCATTTTCCATTATTCTTTTCTTGTAATTTTGGAGGGTGGTTCAAGATGCTTTTTTATTTCCAGAACCTACAACAGGGAGTTAGCCATGCTGGCCTGGTATAATCTGAAGACCTTTCCACCTTCTCTTCTAGACATTCACCCAACAAATTCCTTACAAGCAAGATCAGAGACCAAATGGGATGTGTCTCAATGTGTGTGGGGGAAGAGGACCTCTTATTTGCTTACTCCTCTCAAGAACTCATTTTTCATTTTAGTACCTCGTTTTGTGCTAGCAGTAACAGATATAACAAACATTAATACAGTGGACTCTCGAGTCACAACTGGCCTTGACATATGAACAACTTGGGTTATGATCACAATTTTAGTTTTAACTTATGAATGAAGTCTTCAGCTACAACCTAAATACTGGCTGGTTGTGCTTCCAATATGGTTTCAGACACAGATTTAATTAACCCTTAAAGAGTTCTGGAAGGAATACCACAACATCCTTTCCTGTATGGGGTGAGTTGAGAAATCCAGGGCCAATGACTCTTAGGACACTGAGATCTGCCTATTTACAGGAGAGAGACTTTGAAGGCTATGTAGAGGAACCTTAACCTTCAATTGACCAACCTGAGTTACAATCAGCCCTTACAAATTGAGTTTGTAAGTCAAGGGTCCATTGTATTAGATATGTTAACTACCATATTATTTTATTTGGGCTTTAAACCATGGTACTTACTGAGACATGAATATTGAAATGAAAGTCAGGGAGCTTTGATATATAAGTTAAAAATATGCTACACTGAAAATAATTTTTCTGCAATGTTCAATACTAGCCCTCATAAAAAAGCATCACTTGCAGTTTGGAGGTATTCCTATCTTTACAGAAAAAAAGAAAAAATATATAAATTCAACTTAAATTGCAGAAAATAAGATTTATGTTACTTCTAAGAACTTTCTCAAGGACAGAGGCAGGGTGTGAAATGTCTGTCCCAGAAGATACTGAATAGTAAAGGGCCAAGGAATAGTCTAGTCCAGAGGCAAAGGTTGTCTTAAAAAGTATTTTGATATATGACAGCTAAAAAGTCCTAGAAATACTGGCATTTAAAAAAAGTAGCTGAAATAAAATAGAAAATATGATCTTACATTTGTAGAAGATTACAGTACATCTGCCCACAGCTACAGTACCTGGTGCTATTCTCAACAATCCAACTTTAATAGTGACATCAACAGATACAGATTAGAGAAGTACAATTCATATGACTAAGTAAATTAAGATAATACTGTTAAAATTAGAGGAAGGAAGAATTAAATAATTGGTAATTCATTATCTGAGGAAAAGGAATTAAAACATATGTCCAAATCTATCAAATCATGCAAAAACCAAAAAGGGCAAACAAGAGTGTGATACTAACTTCTATTACATTTAGAAGAAGAAAATATTTCCGGGGTATTTGATGTCTGCGCAAATAAGATTAAAATAATGTCCAGAGAAGTTCAATCTTTAATCTTTAGTCCCAAATGCAGGACTGAAATCCAGATTTTCTGACTTCCTTTCTTCTAAATCATGATATTAACATGGAAATATTATAATTATTTTAAAGAAATGAAAAAGTAATTCTGGTACAAAAACAAACTTTAGTCTCCCATGATCATGTAAGTTGAAAGTATATGCATTTATGAGACATTTTTTATTTTTTATTTTTTTGGTACCAGGGATTGAACTCCACTCCTTGCACTTGTGAGGCAGGCAGTGGAACCACTGAGCTAAATCCCCAGCCCAAGACATTTTTTAAAAATCATCAAATATTAATTCCATCACAGTTTATGAAAAGGCTACATGTAGTACATACTTCTTAGAATCACTATTATGAGCAGAAACCATGTCCAAAACTGCTTCAGAGACCAAATATTGGGTTAGATAAACTTTGGTTTAATCTATTAAGGTATTTTAAAAATGATGCTCTTCAAAATCAAAATTCCTGAATTCTAATTCTTTTTCTGATACTGACCTTTTATTAAAAGACCTGTGTCAAACACAAAAATGGAGAAATATTACTCATTGAATCAATTCTTAAATATGACTTGAGCAAATTTATTATTCAAATTCAGGAAAATTTTATGTTAAGGACTCAGAAATTAGCAGCTTTATTCTAGGTATCAACAACTAAGAGCTAGGGATTTCCACTACACTTATGTCTTCTTTCTTAAAAGAGTGAAATAAGTATTAAAGAGAGCTACAAGGGATGGGGATTTAGCTCAGTGGTTCTGCCTCCTGCCTCACAAGCACAAGGTCCTGAGTTTGATGATGGGTACCAAAAAAAAAAAATTTTTTTTTTGTTTTTTTTGTTTTTTGAGACAGGGTCTCACTATGTAGTGGAGACTGACCCGGAACTCACTATGTAGCCCAGCCTGGTCTCGAGCTCACAGTGTTCCTCCTGCCTCAGCCTCCCGAGTGCTGGGATTACAGGGGTGCGCCACCACACCCGGCTTTAAAAAATTTTTTTAACTAGAAAAAAAAGAGAGAGAGAGAGCTACATAACAGAATGCGCCACCACCCGGCTTTAAAAAATTTTTTTAACTAGAAAAAAAAGAGAGAGAGAGAGCTACATAACAGATATATTGATATTTACCATAATGTGAAAAATGAAGCCTACACACCAAAACTGAAAAATAGACAATTATAATTTTATATTTCACATATTAAAAGAAACAATTTTCTTTCCAGAAAATTCTGTTAACAATCCATTTTGAAGATTTTCTGTTTCTTTGAACTTATTTGTTTCTCTTCATTCTCTTTCTTATCCTGCTTTTCTTTTCACATTTTCCTCTTTTAATCAAAACCCAGAAAGTCCTAGAGAGCCGATAACTGCAGAAAGGTTATAGTAACATTAATTTTTAAATTTACTTAAGATTTATGATGAAAATACTTAATACAAAAAGGTCTTGGCAAGTAGAGGAAATACTATTATAGAGAAAATGGTGGGAGTTTGGGAAACTAAAGTCAAGAAAAAGCAAGCACAGGTGCCTCCAATATGCTGATTCACACTGCTGAGGACCTCATCAGGTTAAGGCTAGAGTCTTCATATTTTAATAGAACTAAAGGAATAAAAACATTTGGATCTGCCCAGTTCTTCTCTGTAAAGTATAAGTTATTAATTCTTCAGGAATAGCATTTCATACTACCAATTTATAGAACAGCAGATTATTCCTTTTGTTCTTCCTGTATACCAACTAATTTCTTAAATTGCTTTTCTATGTTTATGTATTTGAAAAACAGATATGCTGTCAAGTGAAATTTAGGTAAATATAACCCTTAATATACTGACAGAATCATTTCACCCAAAAAAAAATCATCACCAGAAATCTCTCTTAACTCATTAAAAGGTGATGGGCTAAGATCAGAACAAGAAGATGCTATAAGAAATTTAAAAATTGTACCACAAACATGACTTCTAAATTCATTTCTCTGAGTCAGATTTGAATTGAAGAACTATCATATCCATGGTATTTTGAACCATTTGTTTTATGATAAATAGAAACTGTTGACTCCATCCTAAGTTACCAAAAAGTCCTACAAACAATACAAATAAAAGGATGGAGAGTTCCTAATGACAGGAACACAAAGGTCTTATTAACAGCTCTGCCTTCTGACTAGAAATGAAAATATTTGCATGCAGCCTTAAAGGTGCATTCTAGAATCAAAAAGGCCAAGGTTTGTCACAAAACAATTCTGTTTTGAAAAAAGTTTCATTTATAATAGTGCCAACTCCCTTGCTAATTCTGCTTCTCTCAGCTGTAAGTATTTTTTTCTTTTCTCTGTTTTATTTCTCTTGGGATATTTGATTTTTCAGCAGAGTTACAGTTTTTCCTAGTGAGCTGACTTATCTGGCCAAGTAGGTCAGTTTTAAACAAAGCCACGTTTTGTGACTCTTCACAAGATTTGCTGCCTGGGTGCCTTTAGGTATTTTTGTAGAAGAAAATTTTGAAAATTGAAAATGACTAAGGATTTTAAATTAATGCTTGGATCCAAGAAAGCAAAATACAGAGCTACAGAACTA